ATGGAGGAGTCAGAGAATCCTTGATTACTCGAGATTGTAATGATCATTACCTTCTCATCTGAATTAGCTTCTTCTTCAGGTTCAATAAGATTCTTCCTGAGATCACTAAAACCTTGGTCTGTCTCTGTCATGAAACTGTGAAGAATGGAGAAGCAAGTGAAACAACAAAACACTAAATTCACTGCAAACAAGGCGATGCAGAGGATCACGACGATACAATTGTAAACATCCATTCTTCTTGGAAACTGATCATGATGGGTTTTGGTTTTATCAAGAAAAATCAGAATCACTCAATCAAAATTATTCACTTTTTTTTCAAGCAACTGATTCTCTGGTCCCCTCTCCTCCTCTAAGAAGAAAGCTTGTATCTGAAAATGTTTTGTGTGTTTGCATCTCTTCTTCTTATAAAGAAGAGAACTAAAAAGGATAAATTAAAAGCAATTTATATTTTATGGATCTGCGGTGGAGAGACGATTTTTCAACGGATAAAGGTGGTAAGCATGACAAAAGCATTTGTCTCTTTCTTTCCTTTTCCACCAAATCTCTGTTTGTTTCTTTCATAGAAATAAACAAAACAAGATATGTTTATTGTTATGAAAATAAACTATACACTAATACATATTCATTTAGTCTAAAGAACTCCAAAGCATAAGCAACAAAAAGATGAAAGAGGGGGACATCATCTTCTAACGGTGTTTTCAGAGAGTGAAACTGTTCACAATCGGTCTGTTTCAGTGACCGATTCAGGGTTTTCGATTGTAGAATCTGAGATTTGGAACTGAAGCATGACAAAAATCTATCTGATGTTAGCATTCAATATGTGGATTTGAGTGTGGATAATGATGATCTATTAACAAACTTTATTTGTATGAGTTTTGAAGATTTCTTCTTTTTATGTGTAGTTTTGAGGCTATCTGAATTAGTAAACTAGACTTGTTCTTTCCACTTATCTGATTTGATAAATAACCACACAACTTTATCATTGACTACTTGCATTTTGCTATTGCAACTCCACATTATCATATAATAGAGAGACTCAGAATTTTCCAATCTATTATAATGAACGTTAAGGACAGGTATGAATTTTAAAGCCATGAACAAACAAATATAGAATACGAAAAACTTAAAAATTACCTCTATTTCTTTTTTTAAAACTGTTTGTCAACTCTTCTGCTTTGAACTTTCTCCTTTTGGAAATCAAATTCTTACAGCAAGAAACCCTAAAATATTGTTTTGAAGACATCTCTGCATCAAAACACAATTGACATTTGATCACACAAGTCAACTCCTTTTTAAAACATGGCAAGATCAAACAAGAATATGTCAATGAGTTTTGACAAAAATACAAAACAAAACAAAAATTGCAGGAAAGAGACTCAGATGAGTAAGGCAGACATCATATCCAAACAGAGAACCACCAGCAGCTTAGAAGAGCTGGGCAGTACTTGGTCAAATATTCAGCCATTACTGTTTTCTTCCTCATAATCCCAATCTGAGTTAAAACAATACAAACTATAAAGAATAATGCATGTAAAGCTTTGAAATGGTCTCAAGCACAAAAACTGTCGCTTAAATGCACAAGTTTTCTCAGTAATCTACAAAATTTATAAAGTGTTCGAAAACGATTTTGATCATTCATGCTTTGAAAATCATTATGATTCTTCAAAAACTGATGCATAAAGGTGAGGTATTGAAACATAAATGCTTCATAGAAAACTGAAAAAAAAAAAAAGTTAAAATCACGAAGGAAAAAAGCGAAATTTGTTTGCTTTCAACTCAACATATACCACTTCCAAGAAGCCAACTTTTCCTCTCAGACATTTCGCCGAACACCTGATGGGCAGTGCAGAAGCTTCTCAGTAATCTACAGAATTTACAGTAAGGAAAGTTGGCTTCTTGGAAATGCTCCCCCGCATACTTTGTTATTTACAAATGTCCCCTACAGATTTGCTAATCACAGATACACCCTACAGTTTTGTATATTCCAAAACAGTCCATATGTTTCTATAATCTCACATATATCAAACACATCTACAAAAAAAAAAAAGCTCGAAACTTTTTGACACATACAAAACCTATCCAAAGATGAACCACACAATCACAAGTAAACAAATACCGTTATAAACGCAAGTAGAGAAGAAGTACCTCTATTACCCAAAAAGCCGCCATGGCAGCAGCTGGTTTAAGCTTCTTCAAGCTCTCCTTCCTCCTCAGCCTCCTCTCTGGCGGATCAAACATACTGAATAATCCGTTATCCGAAACCACACCCGGTCTAGTCGGGAAGTTTCCACCGTCGTGTAACCGAATCGAGTGCCCAAACTACGAACTAGTTCACACCGGAAATGGATACGAGATTCGCCGGTACGATAACACCGTCTGGATTTCCACTGAACCGATTCAAGACATCTCTCTCGTCGATGCTACAAGAACAGCTTTCTTCCAGTTAAGTAGCAATTTTGAAATTAGGGTTTAATTCGGATAAGGGTTTTAATTTTCTTTTTGGTGGTTTAGATTGTTCGCTTACATTCAAGGGAAGAACGAGTATCATCAGAAGATTGAGATGACTGCTCCGGTGATAAGTCAAGTCTCACCAAGCGACGGCCCGTTCTGTGAATCTTCCTTCACTGTATCCTTCTACGTTCCTAAAAAAAACCAGCCTGATCCAGCTCCGGCGAAGAATCTCCATATCCAGAAATGGAAACCTAGGTACGTCGCGGTGAGGCAATTCGGTGGATTCGTCTCCGATTCCACCGTCGGACAAGAAGCTGCGGCGTTACAGGAGAGCCTCAAAGGTACTGCTTGGGCTAACGCGATCGAGAAGAGCAAAGAAGACGGTGGTGTTGGGTCGGATTCAGCTTACACTGTGGCTCAGTATAACTCACCGTTTGAGTTCTCGGGTCGGGTCAATGAGATTTGGTTACCATTTGAAATGGAAGATTAAGCTCTGTTTTAGTGAACCTCTTTTCATATAAATAAATAAAATAAAACATTTTGGTTACAGAAACAGGGGGATTTGATAAAAATGAGATTGAACATTTTGCCCTGAACCAAATACAGAGATTATC